ATAATTACCATGTTTCATTTCTCGAAAATCAATTTCAATAATTATAAAAAAATATATTACTCTAATAATATGTTTTGTATATTTAATTTAATGATAAGGATTTGATACATATCGCTAATTTTTAATTTGTTTTCAGATTATTCAAAATGTAGAGATAAATGTGAATTAACTAACCAATTTGACGGCGAAATCGGCCAAATAAGTAAATCTATGACGCTCACCGTATTTTGTGATTAAATAATAATGAGATTTGTTGGTTACTACTAACCACTAGATTGATCTTTCCGGTTATTATTATAAGGAGAATCAATAGAATAATAGCATATCAAAGTTATCATAAAATGGTTAGTATTTTTTCATTTTTAATGAAAAGTTTTAAATTTGATGGAGTGAAAAATATTTTTTTATTTTTAATTAAAAGTTTTGAATTCAAGTTCTCTAAGTATTGAGTTGTCTTTATTAAAAAGCGTTTTATTAAAAAAATTTTAATCAATTTGAGCTCTATGATATCCTGCATAGATTTTTATCTTCTTTTCATAATTTTCTTTGGTGACGATGCTATTTTCTGATTTATATTTTTGGTAAGGTACAAAAAGAAAATGGACAAAATGGAGTGGGAATGAATAATTGAAAAAAGCCTCGTGGTTTCTGGGGGTCCCAGTTTATTTCTCCTTATTTTGACACGAGGCATCATGGGTCCCAAATTTATCAAAGCTTTTATATTATTGTTCTTGTTCTAATCTAAAAATATTCAGAAAGAAGATAGAGAAAATGATCAAAATAGTCCTTCACGTATAGGATTTGAATTATTTTGATCTTTTATATATAATATCTTATTCAAATAGTCCTTAATGTATATACCAAATAATATCATTTTGGTTCTACCCTTAAAAACTAACTGAAAACATAAAAATAATTGTTAAACTTAGTTGTGGGTCCCATACTCTTCTTCCTCCCTCTTTCTTCCGCCATTGCTTCTCCTTCATCTTTCTTCTTTGCTATTTCTTCTTTCTGCTCCCAAAATCTTCTCATACACACAAAAATTTCTTCAAATTTTAAAGAATATTCATAAGGTTTTTGTTTTCTATCTATGCCCGTTAAAATTTTACCATTTAATTTTAAAAATAGAATGAAAAAAATGACTTGAAAAAATTACTAATTTTGAAAAGGAAAAAACGAAAAGAAAAGCTATAATCCTCCTCATAGATCGCTTCAACAAGAGAGAGAAAATGAATCTTTTATTTGATTTACTTAGTTTACATTTGTTTTAATGATCTTGATTTTCTTCTTCTTCTTTATGTAGGATAATGGAAACTTCTAAAAATTTTGTTTCAATAGAGATAAAAATGGGTGAGGTGTGCAGTATTTTTCTTATGAGAATATAAAGCAGGAGAGAAAATGACGGAAGAAAGAAGTTGAGGAGACGGGTCTACGATGGTAATGGTGAAAGAAAGCAGATTGAGGAAGAAGGGTTAGCCATTTGTCAATTCCGTGGGATCCACGGTTAAATCTAACAATTTTTTTGGTTAGTTTTAGGGTTAAAGACTAAAATGATCATTTTTTTTATATACATTAAGAATTATTTAGATAAAGTGATATATATAAAAGATCAAAATAATTCAACCCTTGTACATGAAGGACCATTTTGATCATTTTCTCAAGGAAGATATGTGATTTAAGTTTGTGTTTCCACATAAAATCCACATATATTAACTTTTTTGCTTTTCTTAGAAAAAAAAAATAGACATTTATTAGTTGTATTTGGAGTTCGTAGTTACAGTCAAGGAGATTTGACTTATCATTATTTCATTATTTAGATATATTATTGCAATTTTTTTATCTTCCTTTATTAGTCATATTTAGAATTCATAGTTATAACCAAGAAAATTTAACTTAACAATCTCATTGTTTCGTTTATTTGTGTGTTGATATTTGAGACTGACATTCAATTAGTTTGTAATGATTTAACTTTAGCATTCTACAAAGAATCAAGATAAAAAGAAATTTTGATAACGATCTAAAAATAGGATGAAGTTTAAGAAATAAGACTACCGATGTGCTTAGGATTGTTGAAGTTGTGTCGATTTGTGACTATAATATGTTTGAATATTAATATAAAATTATAATAATTCTATTTCACACTTCGATATTATTTTATTATCTCAAAATAGTATCGATCGAGAGAGTTTATTTATTTTTTTAAATGATAGTACCTAACGCATGCATTTAACATCTTGAGATAAGAGCCCTCTTGAACCATGAGAAGAGGATATCCCATTTGTAACAAGATAAATATTCTCTTGGAGAGGGTTACAATTTTAAATTTTAATATCCAGTTAAATTACTCTTTCATTTTAAAATTCTTTATCATGTTTTTTCATTTACATGTCCTTTTAGAAAAAAATAATTAAGAGGGGTATTTAATTATTTTGTTTTTTATTGAATAGTTATTCTATTTATGTGATAAAATTGTGAAGTATCTGTAGTTTTAAAAATTAATTACTACTAAGGATAATATAAAATTAAAAAAATGTTTTAAACTTTTAGAATGATATGTATTTTAAAATAATGTTTTTTTTCATAAAAATGATAAATATTTTGATGCAATGGAATACAGTACAATAAAAGTGGAAACTAGAAACTTCCATTTTGTTGTACCTTTATGTAACTTCGAAACATTTAAGCTTTATTTCAGAAAAATAAATTGCATCTACTTTCAATAAGTTTTACTTAATTTGGTTTAGACTAATTATTTTTCAATAATTAAGAAAGTATTAATTTTTCTAAGTAATTCTAAAGGTTAATATTTATTGAATAAGTAATTCTAAAAGTAAATATTTGTGTGATAGGGACCAATGTAAGCTATCACTTTCTCTTTAATTATTTGACATTGAAATGTGTGGCACTAATTCATGTAATAACTACTTCCTTTAATTTTGACCAATGCTGGATTACATAGTACAGTACTATGATTTAGATTGGATTTTTATTTTTTTTCCTTCTCCATTATTTTAAAAATAAATATTAACTTTTAACCTATAAAAAAATATAGTCTTTTTTATTTTATCTTTAGCATTAATTACTTATTTCTCAAATTATTCTTCAAGTCATAAAACTATATACGTATTAATTAAAATGAATACTATGATAAAATACTTATATTAGTATCGATGCTATGGTGATAAATAATCTACCCTACAAGTAAGATCAAGAAAGAACACATATAAGTCGTTTATCATACTATTTTTAATTTTTGTTAGCCTTTTAAAATATAAATCATTTTTTAAGCTATTCTATAAGGGCATCTCCAACTCTATCTTTTTTTGAGCTATCACTCAAGGGCATCTCTTAATCTATCCTCTATTTTACTATCCAAATATATAATTTTCTATTTTCTCAAACAATCAACTCCAACTCAATTCTCTATTTTACTCTCTAAAAAAATTCTTTTTTTTCCTCCTCAATATTATATTATTATTTTAATTTCATTTTTATTTTCTTATTTCATAATATAATTTTCTTTCTTTATTTTTCAAATAATCACTTTGTATAATTTTCATGTAATATAAATTTTAGGTTTTTAAAAAATTTATTTTATTTAAAATTTCTAAATAACATACTTGCAAATAAATATTATATAATATATAAATTAGTGGACATAAATTGCAACCAAAATTTTTGTGATAAAATTATTATGTTATGTATTGTGTTATCTCGTTATTGTGTTATGTATTGTATTTTTAAATTAAAATTTTCATCTTATTATTTTAATTTTATGCATTCATCATAGTGACAGATAATTATAATAATATATTTTTTAAAATATTATATTACATTTAAAAAGAATGATGTATATTAAATATTTAATTAATGGTCTTATATGAAAAATAATGTGTTAATTATAAAATAATAGAAATATAAATAAAATATCAAAAAATAAAATAGAGAGGGTGAATGGTAGTTTTTCAAATTTGGAGAACTACTATACATTTTTATAAGTGGAGAATAAAGAGTGAAATGGAAGGTGGTTGGAGAGCTCATTCTCTATTTTGTTTTCCAAATAAAGAAAATGAAGAGTAAAATAGAGGTGGATTGGAGTTGGTCTTACGCTGTATAGTCCAAAAAAATAAAGTGTTAATTAAGTGTGACATTTAAAAAAATAAAAATAAATAAAAGATGCTTAGACAAATATTTTTATAAATTAATTAAGATATTTTTCTTAGTATTTTCCAAGCGTGGAGTATTTATATATTTATTCGAAAAAAATATTAAGTCATAACGTGCTCCAACACGGAGCACTAGAAAAAAAGAAGCTTCAGAAGAATATTCTAAAAATATTCATAAAGAATACTTCAAAGGGGTCTTTCAACTTGATGGGCTTCCACATTGTAGGCATGTATCCATGTCTTGGTCATAATAGATATGCTTTGATTAAACTAAAGTTGATCAACAATATCTTTTTATACGTGAAGAGGAGATGTACATACACTAAATGAGGAGGTGTAAGACGTTAAATATAGTGGATATGAGGTAAGGTAAAAGTAGGCCGAAAAAGTATTGGAGAGAAATATGATAAGGTATGACATGACATGACATAATTTAATCTTACAGAGAATATGACCTTAGATATGAAGGTATGAAGATCACGGATCAGAGAGAAAACATGTAGGTAGTTGAGTTTTATATATCTTGCTTTTCAATGGGATTAGGTTCAGTGAGAGTTTGATATATAGCACCATGTCTGTCGTGGTATATATTAGTAGTAGATTGCTTTTGATATTTGTTACCATAAATATTGTCTATTGTGTTTTAGTTATAACATTATTTAGTTGTTGTTACTATTATTTTTTTGGAATATTTTGTATTCCTTTTCTAATCAAGTGACATGTCTTCTTCATAGTTACTTTCATTTGTTACACTTGAGCACGAGGGTCTTTTGAAAACCACCTCCTTACCTCCACGAGGGAGACGGGTAAAATCTGCATACACTTTATCCTCCCAAAGCCTCACTTATATAAGATTATATTGGGTATATTATTACTGTCAACAATATCCTTTCGACAATCCAATCAATTACAATTAAACTAAACATAAAAGCAGATTATAATGCAACAAGCAAGTCCTTGTCACAAACTTGTGACTCACAAGTTATTGATACTAACCTTTCTAGCCCCACTCAACTGTTCCATCATCCATCATAGAAAAATAACTCACTTTAATACATTCGATCCCAAATATTAGTCGTTTTGGCAAAACTGAATTTATTTCAAAATATTTGACGGTTGAGAGAACCGAGAAGTCACTTAAATAGTTTTTTCAATATCTACCCTTTACTGTTACAATTAATGGAGTGTTAAGACATGCATGTAAGGTACATTTCGACGAATACTAATTTTTGAATCCTTTATTTCCAGGGCAACTTCCAGACCCTTGGCAGCAGCCTAAAGTACATCATGATAGTCCATTTTCACCGCGTAAAAACTCTTAATACATATATACCAGCAGAACCTGACCATCAAACTAGTTACATCAAGTTGACAAAGCACAAGTCTTGCGATTTAATATACATGATTCTAGGTACAAGTTTTGTAAGATGGCTGGAAGTACACTTAGCCTCTTCTAGTATGCAGTAATTGACCTGGACTGACATGCAACGCGCCATGCCTCAGAGAACAAACACAATATATATGTGGGCTTACATGCAAAACACAGGGTGCGATGACAGAACAAGTAAACTAGTCCTGTTGCCTGTAGGAGTGACCTAAGAGTGAAATTTTACGCAATAGAATTTTTATCAAGTCTACCCGAAGCTGCAGCATAGTAGTTTCCAGAATGATGACTTGTGGAACTGTCATTCACCTATCAATGAATAACATTCTAACACTAGCGTAAGCCTTACCTTAGCAGTTTTCTTTTAGGTCTGGAACTTCATTTTCAGATGGTAATCTTTCCACAGGTGGTCCACAACTTTTCGGGTATCTGCCAAAGTCTTTCTTTGTAGGCTTTGCAAGTTCCACAGAAATAACCCTGCCATCGAGGTACTGACAAGGGAAGAAAGAATGTGACGAAGAAGACACTGTGAAAGGAATTAAAAATCCAAAGCAAATTCACGGAGTATAACCTTGTGATCCATGCTATCAAGAGCAAGCATGGCATTTTCTTGAGAAGTGTACTGAATAAAAGCATATCCCTTTGATCTCTTGGTCATTTCATCCTTGACAATCTTAACTGATAAGGGAAGTAGATACATTTAAAAATGCAGGTCACAATCTCAACTACAAGAAAGAGTAGAATAGATAAGAGAAATTATCTTCAAGCAACAGCACATACCTTCAGCAACATGACCAAAATTTGAAAATATTTTCTCCAGACAACTTTCATCAGTGGAGTATGATAGATCTATGGTTCAAAAATAAGACAGAAATTTTGGAACTTTAGAGAACCACAACCGTTGAATGAAAAACATGTGATATATCTAAGACAGCAAGTGAATTCTGAACTTGTAGCATAAGGGTTAAAGAGAAAAAAGTCTTAACATTTCAGTGTCTCAAAACTATTTTTTTTATCAAAACTTGACATTCATTACATCTACAATTTGGTCAATGGAGAACTATAATTAGTGCAATGATAGCTTAATACTTTAAGGTAGGATTTTAACTTAGTTAAATATGGAACCTATCATTTAGAGGTATCAAAGAAGAAAATTCTGGACTCTTCATTGAGCAGCACTAAGTAAGTTCCAGCATATGTATATTAGTAACTAGAAAACCTTCGAGTTTACAACACTAGAAGTCGACATTTTATTGCTAAAATGATACTGGACATATAGTTCCTAAAGGGAAACTTACAGCATTACATGGAGATACTTATCTCCTTTTACATAGCCTCATTCTTTCTTCTATTTTTCCTCTCTTTTTTCTGATCTTTTACAAGCAAATATCTCCAGTGACTGCTTTCAGTAGTCAGATAACAGTACTCTTCTTACTACCTTGGAATGTCGAGGATAGTCAGAATGCAGTTTACATTGGAATTGCTTTCTAATATCACTATTTTACATATTTAAAATAATGACTAGCTGAAGCACTACAAGCCTGTAGCCCCTTTTTAATTTCATTCCCTTTAAGCTCAAGAAGTGGGACGTTACCCAATAACATGAAGTGTTTACTTTTCATCAAATATCATAACTACTCGGACCAAAGATCTGAATTCTATTCAGCCTGAAGCACAGTTTGAACCACGTAAATGTCTAGACCTAGCATATTCGAGTAACTTCTTCAACAAGAAGCAGCATAATTGTAGACTTGAAATCATGAAGTCTAAAGCAGCTGATAAGATTTACATATACCACCACCACTATTGAAGAGCATCACTAGCTTTTATCATCCATGTGAAACAGAAAAATGCAACATTACTATATAGGCAGTAAAACCTCAAAATCCTGAATCTTTACAATGATAGATTGACGGTCTTATCAAATATACAATGTTGCAATGTCTACTTTTTACTAGTACCAGAATGCAGAGACAAGATATAACATAAAGAAACATCAACTCCTAAGAGGTTTATTAGTCAGTGTTATTGCAATATTGCAGAGTCAAGATAATGTATAAAGGAACATACAATATTATGAGGCTTATCACCTAAGTTGCGCGAACTTTTTGCTTTTGATGCCGCACCCGTGTCGGATTCTCCAAAAATACACTACTTTTGGAGAATTCGACACGCACCCGTCAACATTTTTGAAGAGTCCAAGCAACATAGCTTATCACTAGTTACTACATCACTATTTGATCAGAATAGCAAGCAAGCAATGTGGGTTGTACATTACTGGTGCCAAGCAGCCTCAGACTACAACAAATTCCACCAATAAGGATCCTAGCCAAACCTATTTCTATCTTTGATTTCATTTCTGCCCACCCTTTCTTGGAAAAGATACTATAAAGTCAATAGAGTTTTTCAGCTTTGACCTACAGATGTTGTATCCAAGCTTCAAAAAGTCTTAAAGGTTTAGCTTTTATAAGACTTAGGTGAAACATAAAACTAAGACAAGTTCAAAAACAATCATCCACACTACTCATGGATAGTAGATACTGTATTATTGATTCAAGCAGTAAACTTTCAATCTGATCCAAGCTACCAGTAAGAAGCTAATGTCATCTTTCAGATGTGTTTTTTTAGTTTAACAAGCACCTTTTCTTTTTCTAGTAGCAATAACATTGTGCAGGGAAGTAAATCTGGGCCAACAAAAAGTAAAATGTTAGAGTAGGTTAGAGTCTCACATTGGTCGGAGAATGAACTGGTGGTATATTTATATAGAGTTGAGCAATCGCAATACTCCCCTCGTTAGCTAGCTTTTGGGGTTGAGTTAGGCTCAAGTATCGTAAATGAGAGCCAGGTCCATCCCGTTAAACTCCCCTCATGAACTAGCTTTTGAAGTTAAGTTAGACCCATATGTCATATTTTTATCCAGTTAACTTAACCTAGTAAAACAGATATCTAGATTATCTCCTCACCCATTTCAGAGTTATCATTTGGGATAAAGTACAGTTGTTGATATTAAATGTTAAATATAAGGAGGAGGGAGTAAATTGCTTACTTCTAACCATAACTTTGCTGGCGAGAGGGTAGCTAGAAAAGCTAGCTTGGGTTTTGAAGGATTTGTGTCCATTTGGTGGCTGCAACAGAACAATGGATGAGCTGCTTGGCCATACCCCTTTGCACATCAACATCATCATCACCAATTTGTCAAGATGAAAATAATCCAAATGGTCCTTAATATATAAGTGTATGAATGTTTTAGTCCTTCATATATACTATGCTACAAAAAAAAAATCATGTTAACTTTTCATATATAATACTTAACTAAAATATTTCTTAATGAGTATATACTATTCTTGCTTTTCTTATAACATATTTTTTGTTCTTGCAGCACAAGACATAATTGAGTTATGATTTCAAAGACACGAATATATGTTAATTATTCATAAAAAAATTTTCATAAAAGATAGCTAAAAGTTAATCTTTCTACTCATTATATAAGATTTGATTATAACCAAAAAGTTTCACTCTCATTTCTATGTTTTTATATAGTCACTAGTTTTGATTCACGTGCATTGCGTAAGTTGCTGATTAATTTCTTTTTAAAATTTACTTACACCATTACCCTTGTGACTCAATTGGTTGGGGAACAAGTTATTCCGAAATTAGTTATCACGAGATTGCTATCACACCCTCAATGTGATACAAAAATAATACTATAATTTCGTCATTTTTAAAGTTTAAGTCATAGAAGTAAGAGTTATTTTAAATAACTTTGTTAACAATAGGGGTATAGTTATTCTAAAAGTATAATTGTAGGGCTGTATTTGTTCCAAAAGTATAATGAAGGTTAAATATAAATAATTTCTGAAAATACAGGGGCAAAATTAAGCACTTTCCCCAAAGATGTGGGCAGTTGTGCGTAATTTAAAACTCTTGGGGCTTAAAGTCTACATTCAACTCTTTCCATTTTTAACTTCCTGTTTCCAGTTTCTACTCATCAGCGAACAGCAAATATCCAATATCATCAGTTTTTCCCCTTGTTGTTTCTTCGATTCGTCTCTGTCGAGCGATTGGATCCCTCAAAGGCTAAAAACTTCAAAGTAAGCTTGGCAAAAGGTTACATTCACAACTTCGAAAGCTTATTTTTTCCGTTCAATTTTGTTATTTCAAAGGATTTCGATCTGATTTGTCTTGATTTATTCGATTGTTGTTTAACAACTTAAAATTTAGGAAAATCCTTACTGGGTTTTCATCAAACTTTGAAACTAGTGATGGGTTTTGAAAATTTCAAGGTTTTGAATATTTAAGCTATGTTAAATCTGATTTCTTTTTCTGCTGGTGGTTTGTTAATAGTTTAAGATTTGATTTGATATCTGAATCTGTCAATGTGTTCAAGATTCTTACTTTTTGAATCGTGACTATTTTTATTATAGTTTATCTGTGGTTGCAGAAACCTTGCTTTCTTAGATGGCTAACCGAGCTCCTGTCAGAACTAACAACTCAGCCCTCATTGCCATGATCGCTGATGAGGTGAACTTTTCACCACATTTTTTTGGGTGTTGCTATGTGTTCTTATTGATAGACTATGCTCTATTTGCATTGTATCAGCCAATCAATGATGGGCTTTGAACCATGTTTTTCTTTGATATCACTAAACTAATAGAGTCTAAGTCGCGCAGACTCTTCGATTTGATGCTGCACCCATGTCGGATTCTCCAAAAATACACTACTTTTGGAGAACACATCGGTCGACATTTTTGAAGAGTCCGAACAACATAGAATAGAGTAGATGTACTTTGGTGCTGGAATCATTCATGTGTATGGATTTTCCAAGGAAATAAGTTTTGGGGGATCAAAGTCCTCATGGGAGAGAGGTGCATGGCCCATATAGTCAAGTAAACTATTCTAGCCTGAGTTACTCACTATGCTATATATAAGATGGGAAGTGAAAAACTGATGGACACACAGACCAGGAGTGTGATGACTGAAAAATGATGAAAGCCAATAATTTAGATTAAATAAATCATGGCATCTCTATTCCTGAAATACAAATATCGATAGCTTATCATTGTGGATGAGCTGTTGGTTGTTATTTCTCTAGTGTGTCTTTATCATGATGCCTCAGGGTCATCAGCCATCTTTGAGCATCTATAATATACTCTTTTCCATCAGATCTTTTATGACATGAGTTGTCTTTCACAGACTAATTAGAAGATGATTTGGATGATATATTACATTTGATGTGAGTTTACAGTTGATGTGACTGACGGAGCACTGGTTTTAGCTGGGACTTAATCATGTTTATGTTGTGCATCATATGTACGATCAGAACTCTGTGGAGACGGGATAGCAATTATCTATCTCATCTGTTGCTTGATTAAGTTTTTGTATGCAACTTTTTGAATTGGTAAACAATTACTACCCACTTACTGTCATGGGACTTTTATGATGAATAGCTTGTTAGTCTACATACATGTGATAGATGATATCTAGACATACTGATGCTGATGGAAATAACTTGTTTATATAGGACACAATTACAGGATTTTTACTGGCTGGAGTTGGCAATGTCGATTTGAGGAGGAAAACAAATTACCTTATTGTGGATTCAAGTAAGTTTCAATTTTGGAATTACCAGCTCTTCAGTAGTTTTGAGGATCTTTCATTAACTTTATGCTGTAGCTTCTACTCTGCACCAAAATAGCATAGTTAGTTATTTTCCAAATTAGCAAATTCTCTTCCAACCGGTTTGTCTCTCTTACCTATGTGGAGAAAAGAGCTTTGAATTTGGGGGAGGGAATTTAAATGATAGTTTTTGCTGCTACATATCAGAAACAACCTCTCTACCTTCAAAAGGAAGGGGTAAGGCTGTGCACACACCACCCTTCCCAGACCCACTTGTGGAATCACACTGTTACGTTGTTGTTGTAGTTTTTGCTGTTACATCTGGTTCACTAGCTTCCTATTGGTAGGAATTATTAGATGTCATATGTGATCTGAAACTTAGAGGCAATATGATAGGGGGAAGATGAATCAATGATAATCTTTGCCAAATATTACTCAATAGAGAGGATGATGAAGGGATTTTGTTCAGTCACATAGTAAAGTGAAGTGCTCAAGCTAAAGAGGAGTTTCTGATATCAGTGTCCAAGATGAAGGACTGGAATAGCAAGTACCTTAATATCCTGTGCCCTCCAAGGTAGAACAACAGAATGCTTCAGACTTCAGTGGATAAAGACTCACATTGCATATCCTTCCATATTTGAACGAAGAATAAGTAAATTAGACAACCAATGATAAAACGTTGAGCTTCAGGTATTTTCTTGGAAATGTCAGCCACTGACAGTGATAAATTCAGAAGTTCTGGGGTTGCCATTATAGCTGAATTTTTTCTCTATTCCAAAAGTTATCAGAAATTATTGGTCATGTTCAGTTCCGAAAGTCATTTCACTATTTCGTCTCTTCCTTTTTCATGATAAGTCATGCCTCTATGGTTATGGAGAAGAAAATATATATATTTTTTTCAATTTGTAGATAGCCTTATTAGAATGTCTCAAGAAAATGCCCCCAAGGCCTCTAGCTCAAGTGGCAAAAGGTGGAGGATTTGTGGCTTAGGTCGCAGGTTCAAGCCCCACACCATGCAAAGCGAAGCCCGGTATTTAAGTGGAGAAGGGTAGAGGGGCGGGCCCATTATCCACCGAGTTTAGAAGGCTGTGATTGGTCCAAAGGGCGGGTCACAGACGGATTTCTCGATTATCAAAAAAAAAATGTCTCAAGAAAATTCTGTTATGCACCTGAAGAAAATAAAAATATTTCTACATCTATTCTTGTCATCTCTGAATAGTAACATTTTTGAATTTCATTTTTATTGGTGTAGTTTTATTTCATAATATCATATTTCCATATTTGGGAAATAGTTAATATTATTATCCCCATTTTACCTTTAATGACCTAACTTGTTGGGACCAACTTCATATAAAAGTTCATCTTTTCATGTGGAGAGAGATATAGAATTGTTGGTAATAACGGCAATTTTTGCACTTTGCAAAATATTTAGCTTATGTGTAAAGTAAATTCATTTGTTTCTTAAACTTTTGTTCGGTAAAACACCCGCCAAATAAATTGGAATGGAGGAAGCACAATGTATTTCTGGGATTTGGATCTCCAAATTTTGTTTTCCTGATGACATAAAAAAATACAACTTGATATATAACTAATCAATATGGATTTTTTCAATCTAAAAATCCTTCCCAATGTTAATTATTAATAATAATTGTAACAACAATTATGAGTATTAGAATTCCCACTGCTTAACTTTCAATTCGCCTCTGACCATCAAATGAAATGTACTTTATTGAAATACTTAAAAGAGAAACCAGTGCATGTTAGCACTCAAGGATATGGCCTAGTGGTTAATGAAGTGAGTTGATAACCATGAAGTCTCAGGTTCAAATCCCAGCAGGGACAAAAACACTAGGTGATTTCTTGCCATCTGTCCTAGGCTTGGTGGACAGAGTTACTTGGTTATTGCTTTAGCTGCAGAGACTTGTTAAAACTCTAGCCTTAAGAATGTAGCTAGGGCTAGAGGAGATGCCTTCAAAGCATCTATTGTTTCTTTCTGTCCCAACACCAAACAATGCAAGCAGGGATCATCTTCCATACTTTCCTGATGGGGTTTCAACCTTCCATGAGTTCCAACTAATCAGGGCATCTTTAATGCTCTCTGGCATAACCCATTTGAGACCAAAAGCTGAGAAGAGCATGTTCCATATGCCTGTGACTGCTGTACAATGAAGATGTCTGTTGGTCTCTAAGGCCTGATGGCACATGTAGCAGCTGTTGTCAATACGGATTTTTCACCTGACGAGGTTGTCTTAGGTGAGGGAGGGTTCATGAAGGGCTAGACAGCTAAAACAAATCACGTAGGGGGTAACTTTGCTTTCCAGATTAACTTCCATGGCCAATTAACTAACATTTCACAGGCATATGGCACATGCTTTTGTTTTGCTAACTCTCTTATCTAGACTAATATAGGAGACTCTCACTAGAGTCGATCTACATGTTTAGATTATAACCAAACAGATTGACCTTTTTGTTGGTAATGAATTCAAAAGTTACTTCTAATTTAATTGCTGAGTGAAGGATGGTATATAGGGAGCTGGCGATTCCTGTGAGTGGTAGAACTTTTCAT